GAAGAAAGGTAGGCAGCGATCTGCTGACTTGGACATGAAGCGGCTCAGAGCGGCTATTCGGCCATTCAGCCTCTGAACCTCCTTCATTTTTCGGGGTGGTCTCATATCTAGGATGGCCTTTATTTTGTCCGGGTTGGCTTTAATGCCGCGCCGGTTTACGATGTATCCCAGGAATTTACCCGAGGTGACACCAAAGACACTTATTCGGGTTTAGCTTCATATTGAATCTACGTAGGATTTCAAAAACTAAATTTAAGTCTTGTATTAAATCACATGAGAACTGGGTTTTGACGATCATGTCGTCTACATAACATTCTACTTTTTGGCCAATCAATGGCTCAAACAGTTTACAAGTCTTGAAAGGTCGCCCCGACATTTTTTAGGCCAAGCTCGGTTATGAAGGCAGTCTTTTCTTCATCTGTCGGGTCCATCTTGATCTAATTGTAGCTCGAATAGGCGTCTAGAAAGCTTAGCAACTCGTGCCCCGAGGTCGCGTCCAACAGACGATCGATTCTGGGGAGTGGGAAGCAGTCTTTTGGGCAAGCTCGGTTCAGGTCGGTGTAGTCGACGCACATGCGCCATTTATTGTTAGTCTTTTTCACCAGAACGGGGTTGGCCACCCAGCTCGGGTAGTGGACTTCCCTGATAAAATCGGGTGCAAGGAGCTTCCCGACTTCGTCATCGACTGCCCTCCATCGCTCTGGAGCTAGGTTGCGTTTCTTTTGTCTAACGAGCCTAACTACAGGATCGGTATTAAGCTTATGAGTTATGATGCTAGGGTCTATGCCGGGCATTTCTGTCGCAGACCATGCAAAAACATCTAAATTTTCAAGTAAAAAATGTACCAGTTTAGATCGCAGAGGCTCCTCAATGGAAGCACCGATCTGAAGAGTTTGGGCTGGGTCCTCTGTCGAGGCTGGGATGGAGACAGTCTCTTCTGTGGGCGCAACTCGCTCCGCGCTCTGCTCCGTAGGTCGCTCCAATTCGAGGTGACCGACCTCCTTGGCTTTCCCTTTAAGGGTGGCGACGTAGCACTTGCGAGATTCAAGTTGGTCTCCTCGCGCTATCCCGATTCCGAAGTCCGTGGGGAACTTCATGGCCAAGTAGTAGGTGGACACCACAACCCGTAAGGCATGGGTAATCGGCTGACCTACTATGGCGTTATACGGGGAGGGGGTTGCGACCACTAAGAAATCGTGGTTGAGCCTTACTATGCTAGGCCAAGTGCCGACCTCCACGGGTACTGTAATCCTTCCCAAGGGCCTGACTTCCTCTCTACTAAAGCCTACCAGGGGAGTGTTCGCGAGCTTTAGGTCGCTCTCTTGGAGCTGCAGTTGGTCGAAGGCTGCTTTGAAGAGGATGTCCGCCGAGCTGCCTGAGTCGACGAGGATGCATCTGACTTCGAAGTCGCTGATCTTCACCTTTATGATGAGCGCGTCATCATGGGGGTAGTGGACCCCGCGCGCGTCATCTTTTGTGAAGAAGATGGGGTCTTACAACCTTGGCCGCTTTGGGGGGTTCTGCTCTTCCCTGGCGGCTTCGCGGGCTGATGCGCGAGCTGCAGCTGAGGTACATCCCGCCACAATCAAGCCTCCAACTATGACATGGATGGTCCCCCGAACTGGTCTCTGTTCGAGGGGTTGCTTCTGCGGCTGTTCCGCTTGCTTGCTGGACTCGAGAGCATCTCTACTCTGCTCCCCTTGCCGACCTGCTTTATTATTATTATTATTACTTTGTACAAAATTTCTCAAATATCCGCGACGGATGAGTTCTTCTATCTCATCGCAGAGATTTTTACAACTTTTGGTGCTATGACCGTGATCTTTATGAAAGCTACAATACAGATTTTTATTTCTAACATTAGGGTCCACCTTCAGTCAAGGTGACCACTTCACGTACGGAGCGTCATTGATCGCCATGAGGATCGTGGCCCGCTTCGCGTTGAGGGGTGTATAGTCCCTTTCTACTGCTGGAGCTCGAAAATGCTGATTTGGCTTTGCCCCCCGAGCTTGGTCCTTCTTCTTCCTGCTGTCTCCCTGAGATGGGGGCTCTGGTTGCCTCTTCCTTTTCTCAAGGGCCTGCTCGCCCTTCTGGTTGATTTCCTCCTCCGTCCCTATGAACCGATCTGCGAGCTTGAGGAATTCGGTCACGATCTTGGGTTGATTGACAACTACGTGCCACTTGAACTCTTTGTGGGTGATACCTTGCTTGGTTGCGGTGAGGCGAACTGCGGGATCTAAGTCGGGTATCTGTAAACAAGTGTCGTTGAACCGCTTGACGTAACTCCGAATGGACTCCCCTTCCTTTTGAACTATGCCGATGAGGCTTTCTTGAGTTCTCGGGCACCTTTTGCTAGTGACGAAGTGGGAGGTGAAAACTTGCACGAACTGCGCCCAGCTTCTTATCGAACTAGGCGCGAGGTTACGGTACCATGTGCGGGCTACCCCTTTGAAGGTGGTGGGAAAGGCCACGCACATTCAGGATTCACTGGCTCTTGCTAGGTGCATCTGGGACTGGAAGGCGTCCACATGATTATTTAGATCGAAGGATCCGTCATACTTGTCTAGTGGAGAGAGCTTGAAGTCCCTTGGCATGGGGACAACAAGGAGTTCTGGAGATAATGGGGAAGAAAYTRAGAGRAGAGGGGTAGCTTTCACTTCACCTGAGCATACCTCCTCTTTTCCTTTGAGCTCGGGAGAGACTCGGGTAGCAGTTCAGCGAGCTCGCCGGCGTCTTCGCTGCTGCTTTGCTGGCTCGGCGTTGGTGCTTGATGCTTCAGTGTTGCCGAGCTCGACAGGCTCAGACTGCTGATGGTGGCTCTGAACCGAAGGGCCCTGCCTATAGTCTGCGGCCAGGACCTCGAAGGGTTCTCTGAGAGCGGGAGCTAGAACCGCGAAGGCCAGGGCGATACGAGCTTGGTTGGTTGGGAGGCCCCCGACCTGCCCACAGGCTGTGAGGCGGGGGTGGCGGGCTTCTCCTTCTAGCTATGGGAAGAGGCTTGACTCTTGGCAGGATCTTGGGCCTGGGAGGCCTCTCCCCGGCGAGGTCGTTCACTCCAGCGGGAGGGCTTGGTCTGCTTCGTGGCCGGATGCCGAGGGGGAAGCGATGGCTGGACCTGAGGCAAAGAAGGAAACTGCTGCTGATACTGGTATTGGGAAACCTGGTGCAACACTTGTTGTTGATAGAGTTGGAATTGTTGAAATTGTTGCATTTGAGCTTGCATGGCTCGCATGCACTACATTAAGTCCTCCAACTAGTTCGGGTTGGCCGCTGGGGGCACAACCGAGGGTTCAGCAAAGGTTGTTCCAACTGTGGAAGGGAGTGGAGCGACCGCGGGTGCCACTGTGAGAGGCACGTTCAAACTGGGAACTCCGTCCACGGAGAGGGGGATGGTGAACTACCCAATACAGACAGTAGGAAGTTGGGGCTGCTCCCCATAAGCGTTCTGGTTGACACCATGTCCGGCGTTGCTGGAGGAAGCTATGAATGTTGAGTTTTCAAAAAAGGAAACTGTAAAAGTTTAGAAGAAAGCTTCTTGAAGCGCTTCCCACAGACGGCGCCAAATGATGCGGCACGATCTGGGCACTCCTAGCTAGCTGCTGACTGGCTCCTATTTGGCAACGGACGGCACATGAGAGGAAGAAGATGAAGGATTCCCAGGGGATTTGCCCGGCGGGAATACTCCAAAGCTTAAGTTAGAACGCTGGGGGAGAAAGCAAAGAGTGTAAAGAGGCTAAGAGTGTAGGTCATGCTGGATAGCTAAGTTCTCAAGATTAGCTTGAGAGCAAGTAAGTTTCAGATAGGATCTCTGATGTTCGAGAGTCCTTCCCTTTAACTAGGGAGCTCTTATATAGGCGTTCTTGTCAAATCGGGCATAACTGCCATTGGGCTTCTGTCGCAGCCATTACCTACCAGGGCTGCGCAGGTGATCGTTGCAGGGTACTACCCAATTGGATGGGTGACACGTCCCGGGAGGACAGGCACGCCACCATCTGTCGAGAGACATGGGTACAGTCTGCCAAATGGACAAGGATTGCGCCGTCAGTCAAGAGACGTGGCGTAGTCTGACGGGTACGGTCTTGTCAAATAGAAGCTTCCTTGAGAGCGTCACGTTGCTTAGTTGCGAGCTACCCTATCACGCAGCGAGCTATCTTGTCACGAGCTACTTCGTAGCGAGCTCCCAGGGTACTTCGAGGTGACCCTCATCGGGATTGCCTTTGGGGCAGTCTTTCTGCCTAAGTGTTGGAGCGAGCTGGTTACCCTAGCTCGCGGGTTGGGATAGTCTTAGAGTATTCCCTTTCGGTAGTTCGGGGGAACTCGAGCTCGCGCTGTAGTGAGCTTCCCCTAGAGCGAGCTGTCCTGCAAGCTCATTAGTTAGTCGCAGTCAGGCTGCGGTGCGGAACTGTCCTGCYTATGTTTGCTGAGTCAGGTCCACATGTCATTGTCTCAAAGGGTCGGGTCAAATCATTCTCCATCAATAAGGTTTTGTACACTATAAATTTGTATTTGTACTCTTCCAAATTGAGCTTAATATAAATACAAATATATATAGTACAAATCCATACAAAATAATATAAAATACATAGTTTTGCATTGAACTCATTTACACTCTGCTTTGTACCGATGCAAATAATATTGCACCGCATACAAATTACCGAATCAGGCCATAAGATTTTATTGTATATTAAATCCATACTGTGTTGATCTTTTTGGGTCCGAGATTATAGGTATCAGGCGGTGCGGGCTTGATATGGGCTGGTCTAGTGGTCTAGGCTTGGATCCTTGGATGAAAAAATTGTTACGTCCTCCAAAGCCCAAAAGCTTTCAGGCAGGCCAGGAAACGCAGGCCCAACCCACAAATGATCATCTTTTTAGTTCTTTACCGGCCCAAAAAGCTGATTCGCAAATTTCAATTTTAACAAATAATAGGGTCTTTATGTAAATACAGATATTGAAAGGGTCTGAACCTAACACAAAATAACGTCTTCAAAAGAGAGAGCCTCCCAATTCCCCAATTTCCCTAATCCTGGATACGGGCTCTCATTTTGTTTCCGCAAACCCTTGGAAAGAACGGAAGCTCCACATTTTGTCATCGGCTCTCCCTCTTCCATTGCTTTGGAGCGGTGCTTACGCCATTTTTGGGTCTGCCGAGAAGCTCTCGTCGTTAACCATGTAAGCAAAATAGAAAACTCGTTCTTATAGTTCTAGGGTTTCTTGTCGGTTCTTCTTTACTGTGAATATACATTTTCTGTATCGTCTATTATCATATTTGTCTATCTTTTTTTGTTGGTGGTGGTTCTCAAGAGCGTTTCCTGTGATTTCCTCTCGTATTTCGTTTTGGGATTATATGTTTTCGTTCTCTCCTGCGCTCCCATGGCCACACCGCAGCAACTTTATTTATTCTTGTTTCAAGAGGCGGAATTACTAAACGGGGTGAAAAATTTTGGTCTTGATGGGTCTGGATGTTTTGAGTTCTGGGCACCTGGGTTTAGGGTTTTAGTAAGGATGCTATTTTCTTCACCTTTTTTTCCTAACTGAGATTGTTTTCTTTTTTGTTGTTTTTCTCTTATGTTTCTGCGGTCTTTCTTAGGGTTTTGTTAATTAGTTCTTTGAATAGTGCCTTTTTTGAGCTCTCTAGTTGTGACGTGAGTATCCATGAAGTAAGGGTGGACAAAACATGCGCAAGGTATCAAAGGATGCCTCTCTATTTTCAAGTTCTTTTATAAGTGCCTACGAGTGGTCCGGCTTGTAAGGAGAGAAATGAACCCGTGTTATCAAACCCTCGACCAGTCTAGTAGTCTACCAACTAGTCAACAAATAAGGGCCAGGCCAATGGTATCACTAACTAGTTGGTTAATACTCCTCGTGTGGTTGCCTAGGACGATCGACCTAGTCAACCGCAGTGTCATTTCGAGGTTTTATTTTCTGTTTGTATCTCAAATTATTAGAAATAATATAGAATATGTTCACATTTTTGTGTTCATGCTGTTGCTTTAAATATTTGTTATGCAACATGATTGAATGATGGTATATAAAATAGAAAAAGTATAAAATGAAGGAAGCCAAAGGAGGAGTTCTTTTGAGTTCTCTTCCAGTTAGTTGTGTGTTGGTATGGAATTGCCACAAACAAATGGCACATTGAATAGTCAAAGTTGCACCTTTTCTTTGAAAAACAGGACATCCATATTGAACATTGTAAACCAAATGTTCAATATCACCCTTTTATTAACTCGTATGCGAGATTGCGTCAATATCTTATTTTCTTAAAAAAAGAATCTCTTTTTTAATAAAAAAATATGTATTTTTTTAATTGACTAGTTGGCACCTGGGTATTTATCAGATAGAGAGGTCAAATTGACTAACCGTTACTTCACTGTATTGACAATGCTGGGATGGAGTTTAGTACCCAAAACTGTTGCCCCCTCCCCATTGCATTTGGCATGCCATTGGAGCAGGCACACATGAGAACCCCTTGAAATCTGCTAATCTTTGATGCATGTTCATACATACATACATACTCCACTGTCCTCCTTACCCTCCTTTCAATTTACTCCCTTGTCTTTCTCTTTCTGAGCTTCTCTTTTGATGGCAACTCGTTTGCATGTTGTGGACATCTTGATAAAAATGCCATCATCCACTATCAAGTCTGTTTCCTTAATGTCTCTCAAACTGCTATCTTAAACATTTAATGCTTATGTTGCATGGAATGGACACTTCAAAATAGGTCCATTTTTTTGAGCATGCAAAATTTAGAATTGCAGTAAAACTCCATGAAAGAAAATACAAGAAAGAGAGCCTGTTTATGCCAGAGGACTGTACACTGTTTCAACACAAATAGAACTCCGAAATTTGTCCAATTTCTATGTAAATTTTTAATATAAAACTTGTCTGTAATGTTTCTTAATATAAACAGTTCACCACTTACAAAAAGATATGAAGCTTTGTCATAAAGAAAGGACATCCATCACAAGGTTTTGGATTGTCTTCACACTTCACATTAAGTGTATGAAATAGAAATGGGAGCCACAACTGTGTAACATAATCTGAGATAGCCCACTACATGGGTGCTGTAAATCTAATATGGACTGGTTCTGAAGACATGATAAATGTAGAAAGTCTCCCATTTTGTGATTTGTCTGACTTGGCCATGCCACTCAGTGACTTGGTTTTTTGACTCAGCTTGGCAAGGTCAGGGGCTGAGGTGACTAAAGAATCTGTTAAGAAAATCTTTTCTTATCTTCATTGTTTCTAATTTAATCGGGACCTGGCAAATTTGCATTGTTAGTTCCACCGTTGTTTCATCATTTATACCATAGATATAATATATTCTATGCAAATTTAATAATAATGATAAGAGTGCAAATCAGGGTACAATTAGGATGGAGACCAAGAGAACCTTTTTCTATTACCTTGGTTTGATAATTGATAACCAGGGAGAGACTGAGGAAGATGCCATTTATACTATTAGAGCAGGATAGGTAAATTTAGAGGTGTATCCGGAGTCTTTTCTCTTATGTGATAGGAAAATACCAAGTAGACCTGTTCACGGGCCGGGCCTTGTCTCTGTATTAACAGAATACATTGAGGCCTGAGCCCGGCCAGAAATTTGAAAAAAGATTTTTTTTCCTATTTTTATTCAACAAAAACTGTTTTATTTATATTAAAAGACCTCAAAACCCTAAAATAATGAAGGATCTCACTATTACTTGAAAAAAGGGAAGAGGAACAAAGAAAAAACATATTGTATATATATTATTTATTATATACAAAATATTTTTTTATTATATTATATATTGTAAAGTCAGGCTTGGGCCGGGCTTTTTTGAGAAATCCCGAGCCCTGTCCGAGAAAAAGGTCAGGCTTTGTGTTTTGGGCAGTTTGGGCCTGAGCCCGCCGAGCCCATGGGCCTAAAGTCACGTCCAAGCCCGACTTAGAACAGACTGGCCTGGCCTGTTGGCTACCCGGCCCATGAATGGGTCTAATGCCAAGGGAAGATTCTATAAAACAGTTCTAAGTTCAGAAATGCTGTATGGAGTAGAGTGTTGAGCGGTCAAGATATAACATGTCTATAACATGATTGAAGAAGAGATGCATATGCTGTGGTGGATGAATTGAAAAACTAGAAAGGATAGAGTCAGAAATGATTTCATTTGAAGAAACCATAAGAAGTGCTCCCATAAGAAGTGAGATGGTTTGATTACTTTCATGGATGACCACCTACAGCACCCATAAGAAGTGCTCCATTGCAAATTGAAGGGGCTAGAAGGGCTAGGGGCAGACCAAAAATGACATTGGTTGAAGTAATAAGAAATGATTTTAAGAGCTCATAAATTTAACAGTGGATATGGTACTGGCTAAACAAAATGGAATGGCAAAACAGGATTCATGTAGTTGACCCCATATAGTTGGGATAAGTCTTAGATGATGATGATACAGAGACAATAAAACTATAGAAGTAGAAAAGTGGAACAATCAAACATTGTAAACAAAATATTGCTTAATATTTACTTTTTTGCCATTCTAAAACATGCATTTGATCTTGGAATCCTTAATGATGTTGTATCTTTACATCAGTTTGGAGAACAGGGCATCAAGGAATGAAAATTGCAATTTAGTTTTTAGAACAAAAGTACAAAGCAAGTTTCTAGGAAGTCATCTTCCACCATTGTTTTTGCTTCTTGTTTATTTCGTAATTTCCTCCTTGCAACACTATGTTGTGGTCATGAAATGAAAAAAATATAGCATACCTTTTTTAGGGAGAAACTTATATCTGCTAAATATGTAGGAAGTAGTTCTAAATTTCCAACATAGCAATGGAGCAATTATTTGCTTATTTTTATTGGAACATTATTATCAACTCATCAGGGCATATTGAGAAATGAGAATCGTTCAAGGAAATACTCTTTTATCTTTTCTTTTTGGATATTTTGCCTCTTAATGCACAGGTGATCATTTTTATGGTTGTGTTAACTAACTCGGTCTGTTTTCATTACTTATACTATGGTTTGCGTAATGGCAGAAACAACTTCACCTATGGCTAGTGCATTGGATTTTATGATATTGTTGTTGTCCCATGGAACAGTTCTGTTAATTTGTATTTTGTATCTATTATTCAGCATTGTAGTGTGAGACATTATGGCTGCTCCTAGTGAGAATTTTGGTGAACTTGACATGACTGGAATGCCTGGGAACTCCAACATTCAACAAAAACGAGGACGTGAAGATGATTCAGGAGCTACAGGGGGTGAAAAGAGGTGGCCTGGATGGCCCGGTGAGAATGTTTTCCGAATATTAGTTCCTGCACAGAAGGTCGGTGGTATCATTGGACGCAAGGGAGAGTTCATCAAAAAAATGTGTGAGGAGACGAAGGCTCGCATAAAGATTCTTGATGGCCCTCAAGGGACTTCAGAGAGAGCTGTAAGTTGCTTCATAATACATTATCAGTCCAGGCCCAGCTGATGCTCATCATGTATTGTCATTTAACCTACCCTTGTTGGTCATATTTTTGATCAATCATCTGGTACTTCCATCAAGCGTCAAATTTATTCCTGCAGTAATATTTGTCATCTAAATTAACAGTTGTTAGTTTCTTTAAATGAAATCTTGCTTAGCAATGTAAATGCCCATGCTTTCTATACTTTTGCTGGATCATATATTGAAAAAGCATGTTGTTTTTTATAATCTTATATCAGCTTATTTGTTTTGCTTGATGGGGGCTGCTGGCATTCCTTCTATTCTCTCCCTCCCAGCTTCTGCCATCCTACCTGTTATTAGGAACAAAATAAAATATTTGTGCTATACATGTCAATGTAATCTTGACGACATTACCATTTGYTGAGTATAACGTGGTTCTGTGGCTAGCATTTCTTGAATTGCTTATCTGGTTGGTTACATTAGCCAGGCCTGTTGCCTATTTTACTAAAAGCAATCACTTAAGAATTCATATCTTGTGATTTAAGAACCCTGAAATTAAGTAGCAATCTTTTGGCGTCCCCCCCATAACTAATGCTATGGTAAAGATGAAAATGTAACCTGTAATATACATAATGTTAACCTTCAAAATGTGTTACTTAAAAAACAGGACTAAAAAAGAACATGCAAAATTAAAATATGACCTTAAACCGGACATGAATCCAAATACAGCACCTTGTATCACAATAACCGAATGAATCTGTGCAGGTTCTGTCCGTGAACCTAAGGCAACAAATCAATCACCAAAGTGACTTCAAACTAGAAGAACCAAAGATCCAGATTGCAGGGATCAGCATTGAGCATTACAAGTGCTGAAAAGTTTATCTGACTAAGCACTCAGAGATACCTTGTACAAACATCTGTTCCAAGAAGCTCTGCGTTCTATCTGGTAACTTCAGAACTTGGTTGATTGGTGTCTTGCCACACATGGTCAAACTTATATAAGAAACCTATGACAATTAGCATGAATAAATATGATATAGAAGGTAATTCTTAAATCTTAGGCTAATTTTTTTTGATCAGCATAAATCTTAGGCTAAAATTGCTTTCCAGACTTGACCTACTCACCTACGCATTCTTATATAAGCACAATAATTGCTTTCCAGACTTGACCTACTCACCTACGCATTCTTATATAAGCACAATAAAAGTATAATAATTTTAACTAATTAACAGCACACAAAAAATTGTGTTTAACATATAATACAGTCCTTTAAACATATCTCCTGGACCTTATATTATTTATAATTTACTCTAATAAATCCTTACCTATCAACACTTATTATGTTCAAAATAGCTGGTACTTTAAAATTTTAAAGTCACACACAAAACTCAATTTTCTTAATTTGTCCATTCCAGCATATGTTCTTGATTCATTTATGAAATGTACAGTGGAGACACTGTTAATTTAGAAGGAAATAATTTTTGATTTATGCTCATATGGAAACATGATAACCAATATTCCCATGGATTGAATTAATTATAAAAAAGAAAATTCTCATGAATCGACAAATTACTTCCTTTTTTTAGGGTCATTAATATGCAGGTTTTCATATCAAAGGAAATCTCTCTCTTTTATGGACATAAGCATGTAAATGACTGTGTATATAGAAAATGCAACTTTTGACAGGCGGAGTTCTGTCTTTCCACATTGTACAATTTCATGCATAAGATAGGATTTGGCTTCATTGTTTGATGGATCTTACCTAAGAGTTCCCATCAGTTATATTCCTATCTGAACCGATGGTTGTGATTATCTGTTCCACAATTTCATAGATCTTTTTGGCCATCTGAAAGGTCATATATAAGACTTTGTAATTGTCTGGTTGTGTTCTTTTCAACAAAGATATTCTTGGTGGCAGTCATGATAGTGGTTGGTTGTTCACCTTTATGTTTATCACACAAAAGGGGCAAATGGAGAAATCTTCTTTTTAGTAGTGTGCTGATTTCATTATTGTACAACTAGTTATTGATTTGCACCTGTAAAAAGATGAATTTCCTTGACAAGTTGCTTGATGAAAATAGTAGAAATATAATGTAGCTCTTGTAATAATCTAATACAGAATTGATAATGCAGAATTGTGGGACATCATATAAGGGGATTTTTTTGGCCTAGAAAATGCTGTAAAAATATAAGAGGCTTTTTCTCTTATATGATGAAAAAGAGCTAAGTGGTATCCATTAAAAAAGGTCTGATCCGTGTGGTCTTTTGAATTTTGGTATAACCAGCCTAACACCACTTGAAAATCTTTCTCAACCAGAATTTTGATTGTTGGTATCGAGTCCTTGGGAGGAATTCAAAGAGGAAATTTTGATTTTTGAACTGTGTATTGAGTTCTTAGCTTGCTAAAACATGCCTTCGCTCTTCAAGGGAAATACTAAACCCCCTATCCTTAACAAAAGGGGAAAAATCCAATGAAATCCTTTGCCTATTTTTGTCAAGAAAGAAAGATACACTAATCTGTTCAAAGAAATGCCTTCAATGCTTACGTGGAGACTCCTTGTTTATGAGGCTGCATTCTACATGCAGTTTGTTAGCATTTATGATCAACCTAACTGTGCCTACCCCACACTCAAGCTACCTTGTATTTCAAAGGGGAGACATGATGCAACTGCAAAGCGGGTCAAGCTGGAACCTTTCTCTGTCAGATACACATCCGTGGGCTATCTCAGGCAATTATTGGTTTTGCCTTTGTGTGTGCACATAGATTGATGAACGAATAAATGGTTTGGTGGAATATTTCTTTGAGTCTGTTTTATTTGATGGGCTTTGATGTGCTAGGTTCATTCTATTGGCACTTGGGAATGGTCATCTTATGGAATGTTTTCATACTTCTAACATCATTGGCCTGTTTATATTGTTTTAGACGATGATGAACCTGACCAAGTGAAGCCTAGTTGCTTAACCCAAATCTGCATTTTAATTTCTTGTTTTACATGATGCTATTTGCATGATCAAAGCTTCTAGTTTTAACATTTTTGGTATCTACACTGAATCTGTTGTTTCATTTGATCCTAAGATCTGTTAATGTGGCTCCAACTCCGTTTCTGGAGAGAGTATAAGGAGATGTTCCTTGTATTTGTGTTGTAGCACTTTTCTTGTTTTTTCCACTGTTTTTGTGGATCTGTATTTGAATAGCAACTTTATCATTTCAATGTTATTTGGTTGTTAATAATAAAAATTCTCAATTTTCTGGGTATATTCTTTATTACCTGCTTAACATAGTTGGTGAGGTGTCACCTAGGCACTTGCTTAAGCACCTGGCCATTTTTTAGAGGGTTGCCTTGCTTGGGCAGGCTGGGATTGTGCATTCTCCAAAATTTGAATGGGCCTGACCCAAGGGCTTGGGCCATAGGGCCATATAGGGGTGCTCAACAAAAATTGAAAAACCGAACCGAAACAAGGAAACCAAACTGAAAAATCCACTTAACGGAACTGATCAGTTCGGTGTTTTTAAAAAACTGGTGGTACCGGTTCAGTGTTGGTTAACCTAAAAGAAAAAATGGGGGTTAACTGAACCAACTGGTATATATATCTAACACACGTATCTATATGTTAAAATATATCTATATTTATATGCTAAATATCTCTATGTTATATATAAATATGTTATATGTTATTTATAATATATTATACTATGTTATTGTAGTATTTATATTTATTTATATAATTATTTATAATATATATTGCAAATATAAAAAACTGAGGAACCGAACTGATGGACCAGTTAACTGATTGGTTTTGGTTTGCGGTTTTTCAAAAGCCGGTGGTACTGGTTTGGTTTCCAAAAGAGCCCATGGTTTGGTTAACCAAACTGTGGGCACCCCTACTGGGCCCAATGTTGTGAATATTGTTTAAGTTGGGTACTGTGTACTGACTTGCATGACACTACAAAATATTTTTTATAATTTGAAATTGTAGTAATAAATAGACATTATTAACTAAATTGTTCATTCTGTGGGTTTATATGCCAACATATTTTTATTAGTTCTATTTGTTAGGGTGTTCAATCAACAAACATGTTGGTATGTGCTGTCTTAGACCCTCGAAGACTTCAAAACCTGAACCAATAAGCAAGGAAGAGCTTAAAATTTTTTCACTACACAGTCTCCTGACTCCTCTTCCTCCTTCTCTTCCACCCTTTCTTTTTTCTTTTCCTAGGACAGAAGTCAGAAACAGGGACATAGCCCCTATATTTTCTGGATTTTCTTTTTTCTTTTCTTCTCATGAATATGTTGATTTTCTATGTTCTAATACGAAGTCTGTACTTTGTACGGAGATAATTGATAATTTCTAGTGAGAAATGGTTGCCGGTTGCTCTTGCCTAGCCTTACCTTGGCACCTTGAATTGATTCTCACTATTTGCCAGTTACTAATGGTGCATTAGATATTTCATCAAAATTGAGTTAAGCCAGTACCATACCAAAACTTGTAATTGTGTATTAGATATGTTCCCTATTTCAAAAGAAACTAGGTTTGGATATTTGTGGATTTTTTTGATCAATAGGATATTTGTGGATTTTTCTTAGCCTAATTAATATAATAATGGATATTTATTGTTCACCCTCTGCTGCTTTTTTAATAGGTATTGATTTCAGCAAAGGAAGAACCTGATGCTTCTGTGCCTCCTGCAATGGATGCTCTATTGAGGGTCCATAAACGCACTGTAGATGGTTTAGATGGTGATTTTTCTCATCCTCCAGGTTCTGGAGGCACATCTTCAACAAGGCTACTAGTTGCAGCTTCACAAGCTGGAAGTTTAATTGGAAAGCAGGGAGCAACCATAAAATCTGTTCAAGAAGCATCAAATTGTGTAGTCCGTGTTCTTGGACCAGGTAACTTCAGATCAATTCTTGCCTATAGCCTTTTGCTTCTTGGTTTAAAATACAATTTCTTCTGATATGATTGTTTCTTCACTTGCTTTTGCTTTTTCCTACTTTTCAATGTTTTACTTAAACTACTTTATTGCCTCTTTTTATTTTTCTTTCTCAAGTCAGTGTTTGGTAAGAGTGCAAAAGGTGAATGCACTGATCTAAATGCAATTTCGTTCAAACAGAAGATTACTGGGTTCAGTTTTGCATTCATAAATTTACAGTGTCTTGCTTGGTTGTGATGGGTGCAAAACAAATTTCAAGGCTGGAACCAAACTATTTTGCATTTAACAATTTTGAGTGCAAAAATAATTGAAAAAACAATTATGCTTTCATTTTCAGTTCAAAAACATATTCTTACCAAATGTCTGCAGAACTGAACCAGAGTACAAGTTCACCTTGGTTCTGCATTAGCACTCTTATCAAACACAGCCTAACAAAGAACTGTACTCAGTGATTTAAAGGTGCGCCTAGGCACACAGGCGAGCCACATTTTTGGGTATGCACCCCACCTAGGTCCTAGGCGCAGCCCTGGTGTGCCTTTTGAAAATTTCACGCTTTTTTGCTTTTTTTGAACCTAGTGGCTGGGCCGGTGGCTCTGCCCCCGGACCCTCGTACCACGCTCCTCGAGGCAGGCCTGAACAATTTGGATACCTCAATTTTTCAGAAGCTGTGTCCATATAACATATGGCAACTTATTAGTTGCATTACCTTTTTTGGCACAATCTGGAATTGGGAGTTCGTATAAATGCCAAATTGTATATTCCTAAATGATGTTAGATATATTTCAGATCCTCCAATTTCTTGTTAGTGTTATAAAAATGTTCATTTGGTGCTAACTAGGCAGGTAGGCATTTTGGAGGCTTCTTGCCTGAGCAATTAAATAGCTGTGGTATCGATATATGCATTTAAGTGTATCTATAAAAATTAAAAAAAAGATATATGCATTTAAGTGGGGGAAAATAGGTTATTATTCCCTTTTATATATGGATATAAGTGTGCATAAACCATTTGGTTCATATTGAGTGTATTGTGGTTATTTATCTCTGTTTGTCTGTTGCTATTCGTATGGTTGGTATTTAATCATTTAGTGATTAGTGATTCAATCTGTTCTGTAGCTTAATAGTTTACAAATTACAACTAACATGTATATACACAAACTTATCTGTACTTGCGCATAAACACTTTATGCAATATGTTTCTTTATTTATTGTACTTGTCAATAATTATGTTTTGGTAATGAGTTTGCTGGTTGGTTTGTTTAGTTAACATCCCAAGAAGATCTGAGGATCTATTACATGGCAATTTAATTTGGAGCTCAAAATATTTGCACATGATTATATAGTCCTCTCCCACCTGAGCCCACCTGTTCTGCATGGAGAACCTTTTGTTGCAAAAGACATTGCCACATGTGAAGACTTTTACCCCTCTATTGTCGATACCTTTTATATTAAAAATGAGAATTATGGTGTGGCTTATATAGATTGGGTAAATTTCCAGTTTAAAGTTGGCTATAAAGCTTTAAGGTGATTAGGTGAAGGGACTGTACCTGTGTTCAACCCAGCTGGTCACCTTTCAGATGGACATTGTGGATTGGTTATAGGATGTTTCTTAGACCTGGCAAAAAGTTGACCCAACCTGTGAACCTGGCTCAACCCGAAGAAAACATGGTTAGGATCTCATATTTAGCCACCCAAATTTGAGAATGACCCGACCTGGAAAAAACTGGGCTGGGTTGGGTCATGGGTCAACCTGCTGACCTGATTGTCAGGTCTAATTGGGACTATTTATGTATTGTTAGAAGATTCCACTCTTTAATCTTTACTATTTAGTCTTTACTCTTTACTGTTTACTCTTTGAATTGTTAAATGTTCAAGTTTTTTATTTTATTTTTGGAATTTTAAGGTTAATTCCTTTAATTTTGGCAATTTTCATGTATTTTTCTTTATTTTTAAAATTGCAGTTATTTTTTTGGGATGACCTGAATTCACCTGTGGGTCAAACCCTAACCCAAACACTTAGGGTAAGGGTCTAGCATTTGCTGACCAAACCCAAAATTCACACGACCCAAAATCAACCTGAATTGTCTTGACCCAACCTGATCCTGGCCCACCCAACCCAATTGCCAGGTCTAGTGTCTCTGCATGCAGAAATAGGTATACTTTAGGGAAGCTCTCTTCTTGATCAGATTAGGAATCATTTTAACCATTTTATCTATTTGTTTTTGCCACCAAGGGGATGCCTAGTTTTTGCCTAGGTGTTGACTCACCTTACCAGGCCAAAACACCTAGGCAGTATGCCTTAACTACATTGTGATGAAAAGCTGTTTTGCAAACATTAATTCTTAGATCATTTAGCAAACTGAAGCCTCTGCCAATTTATAATTTACAATGCTTTTAGGATCCAAATAACAGAGAACCACTCTCTATTTTGATCAATACATACCTGTTCCTATCTTGGATGGACCCAAAGGGTTATTCATGGAACTTAAATTAAGGTTCAGCATGATGGATTTCCCTGCTTTCCTTGGGAGTAGGAGTGCATTTACTGGTGCCAACTGCCAAGGCATTTCCTTGGGAATGCTTACAGGTTTAAAATTAAACTCAAATAATATATGAAACCTGGTTCCTTATCAGGTCTGGAATTGGATAAACAGATACCCAAGTTGAATTTGATTTGATATACATGATGAGATTTAAGAGACTGGACCTTTTTGCCGGATAAAAGGGTGTACTTAAGAGCTGAAAATGATTTGAAGAGGTTGAACCCTAACAGGCTGGAAGAGAAGACAGAGAGCAGAGATCATAGCAGCTTCAAACCCAAACAGAACAGGTGTAGTAGCTGTATCCAAACCATTGACCCCTGCACCTGGTAGGGTGTTTCATGTTTCCAGAGCTGTGTTTCTTGCCTTGTTCTTGAAGGACTAGATCTCCATAGCAGCTATGAACCATTAACCAAACTGAGCCAGCTTCATGTTTTAAGTCTCAAGAGGAATTGTTCCTTTGGCCTCACTGCAGAAAAGCTTCTTTTCCTCATCTACAAAGGCTTCATTGGAGACTTCGCCTCCTCCTTACCATCACTTTTCCGGCCACTATGACATCTGCTATGATGCAGGAATAACTTCCTTACCTTTGTTCAGTTTCTCATTGTACAGGGGTTTCTTTGTATATGCTTTTTGATTAATGAAATACTTCACCTTACAGTTAAAAAAAATCATCGCTCTGAACCCTTAACCAAACTGAACCAGTTTCATGCTTTAAGTCTCAAGAAGCATTGTTCCTTTTGCCTCACTGCAGAAAAGCTTCTTTTCCTCTTCTACAAAGGCTTCACTGGAGTGGAGACTTCCTCTCCTTGCCATCACTTTTCTGGCCACTGAGGCCTCTGGCTATGACACAGGAATAGACATCCCCTCGACCAATTTTCAATTGAATCTTAAGGGACCAACAACTGATGGCAGTGAGCAGAAAGCCTGCCGAATACGACATGATGTTTACTTCAGTGAGATGGTGGCGGCTGCGACAGCAACTGGCGTTCACATTAGGTAGGTTTAGGATTTGGCACACGGAAAGTGTGAAGAGGATAAAGGAGAGAATGACAAAACCTATTATATTGATCTATTTATTTGAGGTTAGCTGTCAGGGTTTGTTTATTTGTTTTGTTTATCAAGGCCTCAAGGGTTTCATAAAAATAATATAAATTCCTTATTTTATGATTATATAATATGATTTACATTATGGTACATATTTTATATTATGTATGAGATTGAATCAAATCAGATTTTAACAGATAAATAGGAAATAACTTGGTTTGATCCAATAACTTAATGGATCACAAATGCCAATCCAATTTGATTTGTTTAATTGCTAACAAATATCCAAATCAGGAATAAACGGATTGGTTATATTTTAATCAAATTGGTATCTGATTCATTTGCAGTCCTAGACTTGGAAGGGAACAGGGCACATTGGTCTAGACCAGCCCATGATTGCCCCAGCTCACTGCTGAGTACAGAGCTCCGAAAAAACATACCCATCGTGCTAATGCTTTTGAGTTATTGGATCAACAATCCTAATAACCATTGATCATGGTATTGTGATTGGAAAATTTTGTTACCTTCAGGGGGATCTTTTTATTTCCACTCAGATGCTCAAATTTCAAATAGAAGCAATGGAAACAAATCCTCCCTTTTTTGATAATTGGAAAAAAAAAATCCTCTTCCTGCAAAAATTGGTTTGCAATTGCAAAAAGGAGATCAACATCCAATTGAAAATAGAATGAAATACTCCTTAGTGTTCCACAATAGGGGGAAATGGATCACAAAGGCTTTTGTCTATTCAAGGTTTTACCCCAAATATGTTTTCCAATGGGCCCCATGGTTTGTTGCATGGAACTGTTATCCCATTTATTGAGTTCTGCATGAATGCAGGAAAATGTGTTTTTTAAAATCTCATCAGATTGCATCTAACTTTTTTTGTACTTCTTTTCATGAAATATCTGCAGAAGATCTACCAATTTTTGCACTACAAGATGACAGAGTTGTTGAGATACAGGGGGAGCCTGCAGGGTTGCACAAGGCTGTTGAGCTAATTGCTTCTCATCTCAGGAAATTTTTGGTTGATCGTAGTGTAATTCCCCTTTTTGAAATGCATGTAAGTCTGTTGTTATCATCTTTTTGAATAATAGCACTCTAAAGTCATTCTGTTTTGTTTACTGGATTTTACGTGATATGGACATGCAATCAAATGAAATTATTTTGTTTTAGTGAACTGTTGGACCTTTCTTCTGGCAGATGCAAATGCCAAATCCCCAGATGGAACAGAACATGCCACCTCATCAGTCTTGGGGTCCCCCTCCACAAGGACTACCCCCAAATGTTGGTGGTGGTCCTGGTTTTGGTGCTAATCCTCAATACATGCCACCACCACGACAACATGAAAATTATTATCCTTCATCTGACCTGCCTCCTTTGGACAAACAACCACATCAGGCTTTATCAGCATATGGTAGAGAGGCTCCAATGGGTGTCCATTCTTCATCTAATGTGCCGCAACAAGCACCAGTCATTACACAGGTAATCTCTTCTTGCTTTTTTATTTGTAAGATTAAACCTATAAAAAGAAAAGAAATGGGAAGATAATTATCATTGGGTGTTCTATTAGTGCTATCTCTAGAAACCATCCAAAGCAGGCCCAGAATTTTCTCTAAGGAAAATTTGAACTGCAATGCAAAATCCAACTTCCTGTTGGTGGGAATCTAGCCTCCATCCAACTTCCTTTCTCATTTCAATTGGACATTTCACCATTGATCCCTGCCATACTGAATCTAGCCTCCACTGTAGTTTGCCACTGAAGGTTTGGTTTTATGCTTGCAGGTCACACAACACATGCAAATTCCACTATCCTATGCTGATGCAGTGATTGGGACAGCTGGTGCAAGTATAAGCTATATACGACGTGCCAGTGGGGCAACCATTACAATACAGGAAACAAGGGGTGTGCCTGGGGAAATGACCGTAGAGATTAATGGATCTGCTTCTCAAGTACAGGCAGCACAACAGTTGATACAGGCATGTATTATGTTTTGAGACATCCTTTCAAGTATATTCTGAATTTTGATTTTTCATGTTCTTTTGTTCCTACCGATCCAATGCGAGTTTGAGTGGCATTTTTCATTTTTTAGCTTCAATTTTGGAGACATTGCTGTTTGATTAATTTTGAAAATTATGAAAATTGTCTTATTACTGTTTGTTTTGCACCTAGACTTTGTCAATGTTTTGCCCTTTGTGCACAACTGCTGTTGATTGCAGTACATATACATTTTATGACGTTAGTATATTTAGGTAATTGGATTAATTACCTGCTGATAAACAATTTGCGTGTATTGCAGAATTTCATGGCTGAAGCTGCAGGTCCTACACAGAACTCCAGTTGGCGGCACAACTGACCAAGGTTATAATTCATATCCACCCCATGGTTCCATGTATGCATCTCCCCCATCCAATAATACAGGGCCTGCAGGGCAGACTGCTGCAGGTTATGGTTCAGTCTATGGCACCAACTATGGGTATTAGGCTGGGCAAGACGTAATCCTTCGATCATCGGTGAGAAAGATAAAGCTTAGCCAGACTCACCTGGTAAAGTTGTAGGGAGGCAGTTGTACTTCTGTACTGAAATGTTGCGCTTTGGCTGTCTGCTTTACAATTAGTTAGAGGTTAATATTGGTAGGTTTCATTTGTACAATAGGCAAACCTTTTGGGGGGGTGGGGGGGTGAGCCCATCTCGGCTTTCAAGATTTTTGTTTCTTCATTAACTTTGTAGCTGCTCTTCCCCTTCCGGTTATTGAGACCCTGATTCTTGTGTAGTGATCCCTTGGGTGGTGGTGCTATGCTATGCCTGCATTTTATTTTGTTTTCCCGTGCTTTGGAATGATTTGTGACGTACCTGAAATTAGTGAACTTTGATCCTTACTTAAAATGCCGTTTTTAAGAGCAATTTTAGTGAAAATATTCCTCCTGTAACTTTCAATGTTGTCCTTGGGAGTTCAGAGCCGATACGACTATTTGAGGTGCCTGCCTGGTCATCAACTTTGCAATTTTTCTTTCATTCTCTCTTTTTAGGCTATGATTGGTTTGAAGGAAAAGGCAGGAAAAGGGAAAGATAGGGAAACCTATACGAGGTTTGTAACATTT